GGCTGCAGTGGGGCTGCCCCTTCTTGGACTTTTTTGCCTTCTTCACCTTACCCTTTTACCAGTGCCACTGGCAGAAGCCTTCTGGGCTTCAGGTTTCTTCTCTTTAGTGTCTGGCTTCTCAGTTTTTTCACCCGCCATCTTGCAAGATGGGAAAGAGCCTGTAGGCATTATTAATTCACGTGTTGCTTGTTATAAATTTATTACTATAACATAGTTTTTTTGTTGTGTTTCTTTTTTTGTTTTGTTTTGTTCTTGTTTTTGTTTGTTTCTTTGTGACAGAGTCTCACTGTATATTTCAGGCTGACCTGGAACTCAAAGCAGTCCTCTTATCCCAGGTTCCTGAATGCTGAGATTACTGGTGTGCGTGACCACCACAGCCAGCTACAGCTCTTTTAATAGTCACCAGAATAAAAATCTGATAATCATATATAAAAAGAATTGAAAAGGCACTAGCAAATTTGTTTCTATTAACCTGACGAAAGCTATGAAAAGAAGAAAAGTAAACAGTCTCCTGTGAAATATGGGAATTCTTCTCTGAGTAAGCCAAAAATGGAGGAAAGAAGAGCCTAAATAAAGGAATTTTGTGTAGTGGTACAGACCTGTAATCCCAACACTCTGGAAGGTTGAGGCAGGATAGCAAATTCATGCTTATTCCCAGCAGTACAGTGATGAAGTGAGAACCTATCTCAAATTTAAAAACGTAAGATAAGATGGAGAACTAGCTTAATCAGAAGACCTGGGTTCTATCCTCAGTACCAAAAAAAGGAAGGGACTGGGGAGGTTGGAAGTATGGGTGGAAAAATTAATGGAGAATGTTTTTTTTAATGTAGAAACAGATTTTGAGTTGATCAGGATTATATTTAGTTATCATTTAGCGTTGTTTTGAGCATATACTATCAATTGGTAAATTACTAATATTAGATACTAGCATAAAATTAAGAAATTTGAACTCAGAGGCAAAGCAAATTTGAAAATGTTCAGGGCACTTTTTTCACTATCTAGCTAGTATTTGGAATAGGTAGAGCAACTGTTAAGTGTATTATGAGAAGCGACATTACCATATGAGAGACAGCTGCAGAGAATACTGCTGCTTCTCAAGTGTGGCCAGAACTTAAGTACTTGACCTGGGATAAACTGAAGCTAATTGCTGGGCATGGTGGCACACATGCTCCCAGCCCTCTGGAGACTGAGAGGAGATGGATAGGAGGATCATCTTGAGTTTTTAGCCAACCTGGGCTACACATCTAGACCCTCTCGAAAAAAAGAAAGAAACCAAGGGGGGAAGCTGGAAATGATTGATGTAAGGATGGGTATGATTTGTTTTAAATGTGTCCCGTCTCCTCCCCCCCCCCCCCAGTATAGCTTTCTAAGTAGTATAAGCTGTATACTGCCCGGGTAAAACCAGAAATGTGAGAATTAGCTTTCTGTGAGAAATAAACTTTGAGCCAGCGAGATAGCTCAGCAGACTAAAGCTCCTGCTTAGGCAAGCACAGGCACCACATGCTGCACCAGCCCCACCTCTAGGGCAGACTCAACCAGCCACAGAGTCTGGGTGTGGTAGTGCACACCTATAATCCTAGTGCTGGGGAGCCTGAAAGCAGGAGGATCACTAGCTGAGCTGCATGGTGTAGTAAGACCCTCCAACAGTCAAATGTGAGAGAGAGAGAATTTAAAGTATGGCAGTTCATTAAGAAATAGAAATGGGTGACCACGTAGTTCAGTGGTAGAGAACTTCTGTAGCATGTTCCTTCCTCAGTAGCATGGGGAAAGGAGAGAGAAGAAAAGGAAAGAAAAAAGAAATACTGGCCACACATAGTGAGGTATGAGGGTTGAGCACATGAGTTCAAGACCAACCTGGACAGCAGTGAAGTCCTGCCTCAGAAAGAGAAGGGGGAGACAAGGAAGTGGGGAGGGAAATAAAGAAAAATGTGGAGCGTGTATGTGTGTATGTGTATAGTGCGGTGCTTGAAATCAAACCTAGGGCCTCACACAGCCTAGGCAAGCGCTATACTGATGGGCTACAAGACAGACTCAAAATATTAGACTTTCTGGAGGTGATGTGTAATTTACGAATATATTTTGAGTTAAAAAATTTAAGGCCAGGCATGGTGGGGCACACCTGCAATCCCAGCACTGGGAAGGCAGAGCCAGGAGGATCCTTGTGAGTTTAAGGCCAGCCTGAACTGCATGGCTAGACCCTGTCTCAAAAAGACAAAAAAAAAGGGGGGGCTGGGGAGATGGTTCAGTAGAATTGGGGAGATGGTTCAGTAGAATAAGTGCTTCCCTGCTAAGCGCAAGGGCCTGAGTTCAATCCCCGGTTCTGCTAAAAAAAAAAAAAAAATTAAACTATTGGAGGGGAAAATCCTGACTATACTGATTTGATCATTGCACATTGTGTATGTGTAGTTGAATTATCCACTGTGCTCTATATATGTGTATCATTAATATAAAAGCTAAAGCTAGATCATTTGGCTGCATACTACTGTTTTCACTACCTTCTGCTGCTGATAATTGCTAGGGTTTTGTTGACATCTAGTCCTGACTCTTCCTACTACTGTGCCTCTTTTTTTTTTTTTTTTTTGCGGAACTGGGGATTGAACGCAGGCCCCCCCCCCGCTTGCCAGGGAAGCACTTACTCCACTGAGCCATCTCCAGGGCCCTGCCTCTGTCTTAAAGTAAGCTCACAGGGGCTGGAAATGTGGCTGATGGGAGAGCTTTGGCCTAGCTCCTCCAGGCCTTGGGCTTGATTGCTGGGGTGAGGAATAAGCATGTAAAAGTAATTATTTCTTATTACAAGGTATTGTACTTAAAACTATCTTGCTTTAATTCTTTTTCCTTTGCTGAGGTTATATTTATATCTGATGTTCAAAAAATAAGTATATAAAAATGTAATTTTACTCTTTTTTAATAACATAATGAATGTCTTTTCTGTTTCATAGGTTCTCTACTTTTAGAGTCTAAAATCAATCCTAATACTGCATACCAGAAGCAACAGGTAAAAATTATCACACTGTACGTGGAATATGGGGAGCCTGGGAATCAAACCTAGGGCCTCATGCTTGCTAAATAAACATATACCTCCCGCTGAGCTACATCCCTCACTGCAATGAATTTAAGTTGAAAAACCCCAGTTTGTCTCAAATTAGGCAGCATAAGGCCATCTTGTCTGAAAAAATAAACTTCTGAGTGCAGTGGTGAACGGCTATAATCGTAACACTCAGGAGGCAGAGTCAGGAAGACAGCCAGCCAGGTGATGCTAGTTTGTATTATATAGCAGTATAGCTATATAGTGAATTCAAGGCTAGCCTGAATTACAACCACTACCTTGTCTCAGAAGGAAAAAAAAAGTATTTGGTCTGAATAGGAGTGAAACTGCTCCTAGAAGTTTGCTGCTGCTTGAACCAGAAACACTTCCATGAAAGTTAACTGCTTAACAATTTGCCCTGAGTCATTCAAGCATGTGTCATTCTATTTATTTTTATTATTTTTTGCATGTGTCATTTTAGCCAGTTGGTTCTTGTGTTAAATAAATTTGATAAAACTGTCACTTTTAGGATCTACAATCTGAGGTCCAGGATCTCAGGATAAATCCTGAGTGGATTTCACTGACCTTATCAGATCCAAAAGCTACAACTCTTGTCGCAAATCTTGCTTTATCTTGGTCTTAACCATCCAGCAGAAAAGTATAAAAACGAAGTACAGGGCTGGTGAGATGGCTCAGTGGTCTAGGGCACCTACTTAGAAC